GTTATTCTTTTATTTTGGATTATCCTGGATGGTGAAAATTGACAGTAGGTGATTGTAAACATCAAAATTGCTCATTTTCACTTGGATTTAGGAATGCTGGGTCGCGCTTAAGAAGGATAAAGGGTCTGCCACCCTGAAAACTGTGTGTATATTCTACTAGATTGGTGTCACAGACTTTTCATATTAAAGTTGTAGACACCTCATTCATGCAGCAGCAACAGAAGATGTCAAATACTCAACACAAACAATTAACACCTTGATTGTTCACTAACTTCAATTAACCTAGCTACCCTTTCTTAGCAATTGTTTTCAGTGCTCAGTGAGCATATGCTTTTCCGGCTACGTTCAAGCTTTCTGAAGCTATCTCCCATTTGGGAGATTTTTGATCAGGATTAAGATGGCACCTGCATTAATGTTCTCATGCACATTATTGGAACTTCAGATAATTTTCTCTGAATATGCACACAAAATCATTTCAATCTCATGAATATTTATGTGGTTCTCACAAGTCACTGCCACATGGCTGTCATGAGGAGTTGCAGTGAATCAATCGCTCACGTTGAACCAAATCCAACAATGTATAGATGCCTTCGGCCGAGTTAAACACAACCCAAGAATTGCCAACTGACTGAATGGCATGACACACTGGATAGCTTAATCTCTCGCTTTCCGGGGGGGTTGTTGCTCAGTGTATCTTCAGCTATTTGTTGCCATGGCAACCAGAGACAGGTACAGGTCTCAATGACACAAAGTTTGTTCACCACAGAATTCAACCTTTCTCGCGGATGGTTGCATCGGGTGTGGGCTGATGGACATTTGATGACCTAAGCAACTTACCTTGTTATGATGATGTAGACATTTCCTCACTTTCCAAGCTTAAATATCACCACTCTCCACTGAGACTGGAGCACATGAAATTAACACGTGTGGTGCCCTCAAGGCGTACATACTACAAGAATCGGTCTTTTTGTATTTTCTAAAACAACAGTGTATGAAAGGATACTTGAGCTGAATTCCCTACAAAAGTTAGAAAACAAAAGAATTAAGGAATACATTTTTTCGAAACTTTTTATTCTGGATGCCTTTTTTTTTAATTTACTTTTTTTTAGGAATATGACTATCTTTTGAAAGCTGGCATCCCCAATTATCTTCTCATTCAGCACCAGCTTGATCCAGGAACAATACGGGCGATTCACAATAGTGCGCCACCAAGAGTTTTCAACACATTGGCCAATCATAACGTGCAAAATTTGTCGACCCTTTCCAAATGCGCATTGGGTCAACAAATTTTGCACATTGTGATTGGCCAATGCGTTGGGAACACTTGGTGGCACACTATTGTGAAACGGCCGTGTTCAACACTGCCACACTAAGCTGAGGTTTATCACATTTCCTATTAAATGTAATGGCACTTGTGCATTCACAACATTATTGCTAAATTTCACACTGATTTGTGCAAGAGATGATAATGACATTTCCCAAAGCAGTAAGCAACTACCTATCAAAATGTGGCATGCTTTTTCTCCTAGTATTTGACTAATTTTGCAATGAAAACAATAGCCTAATGTGGTATCTGATTTCAGGCATTCACAAGAAATTGCCAAAATGAATTTCAAGACAAAGGGGAAAACTCAAAATCCTACACCTGACCACACCACATTGCGAGAACTCCTCACCCCACAAAGGAATGTTCTCTCAGGACAACAATCGACTGGAAATTTCCTTCCCTTATCTCCGAGATAAACATGGCACTGTTTTGAAATACCACAACAGCTTGAAAATTCCATGTTGTCAAAACTTGGCCTGATATGGAACCAAGAGAACGAAAAACAAAAAGAGGTCTCTCTGTCACTCTGAAAACATTTCCCAACACACAAGTATTCCAAAAGGAAAGTAAAGTTATTCTGACATTCCATACCTTGCATATTAAAGATTTCCAACCTTTTTTTTTCCAGAGAAAGATAACAATGAACTGAAAACAAAAATGAAAGGTTGGAAAGGAAAATAGTGAATTTGAAAACAGAAACTGGCAAAAACCTAAATAAAGCCTACAGTTGTGTCAACACTGCAATTTCCAAATTCTCTCAAAGCATTTAAACATAAAAGATATCAAATTCCAACAAACTGTACAGGTAACGAACGATAAAGTAGCACACTTTTTACTGTGCTATTCAAGTCAATACATTACAAATTTTGACTCTGAAGGTTCATGAAATGTTCACGTGCGAAGGTTAATCCCCAACAACAGCCTACACCCATACTGGAACAAGAATGGCAACAAGACATATTCACACTTCAAGCTACACAATTTCACACCACACAATTGTCATAATGAACATGGTAATTGTATCCCCACCCCTCACAATACTCCAATGCCCCAAACACATGGAACTGTCACTTCTGAAGAGACTAGATCTCCACACTGGAGTTGAAAGGTAACTAAACCCAGGAAGGTAACCAAACCCAGACTTACCGTAACTAAAGGGGACATAGGGACAGGGGAATCCCCCCAGGCCTAAACCCCTCCCTGCCCCACTCAGAAATTAGCGAAGGAAATGTAATCTGTTGATAGTATGCCTTTCTACCTTGGTCAATATTTCAACCCATAGAGTGATCCTCTTCAGAAATGAGAGCCCAAAGTACCCCCTCCCCGACAGTGTGTATCCCAGTTACACCCCAAAGGCAAAACGCACGGTTCAAGGAGGAAGGGGTCTTGATGGATACTATTTGGTCATAACTGAGTGTACACATGAAGCCACATTTCAGCTCTAACTCTGATGTTTCTGTGAATTTTATTTTCAACCCTGTTCCTTTCCCCCCTTTTTTGAACACCTTAACCCCCCCAACCCCAAAGTACACCACAGCAGAAGATGCCACATTGGAACAACTATCATCATCAGACAAGGTTGACCAAAAACGCTGATGTTGGTGATGCTCTGATGGTCTGAGTTTTCCTCACTGTGAAAACCTCATAAGGGTGAAATGACTTAGTGAATCAGCGAAGTACTACTGCATATTCACAGTGGCTGGGTGGCATGGCATCTGCTTTCGTTAATGTAAGACCACACACTGTGCTAATATACCAAGGTACCAGTCCACAGTTACTGTTTAGGAACCCCCCCCAAAACTTGATATTCTACATCCTTGCATGCTTGCTCTTGCTGCAAAGCCAGACATGTTGAAATTTTGAAATGTATTATGTTGAGAAGCAGGAAGTTGCAAAATATCTAATCTTTTGGGGCTTTACTGAGAAACTGGATTTCACTGTTTGTTGTGGCTATCCTCTGAATTCCCTCCTGCGATCCCTTTACAAAACTGAAACTCAACTGCCTACTGAAACTCAACTGCCAACAAATCAGTATCAGGAGTAAACACTTGGCTCGTACTTGTAGCTAATGAGCAGATCATAAAATGGCCCCCAACTCTATAATGTGCTGTGATAGCCGTATTCATCTTGTCTTGAATTTCACGGTTAAAACGACCAAACCCCTCTCATACACAATAAACAAATAATGGAAAAACAGACACAAAAATAAATTCATTTGGCAAGGAACAAGTTTGATCAGTACTGCTTTATTAGCATTTCCCAAGAAAAAGAAATGAAAAATCTGTTTTCTCCCGGGGAACTTTCCTCTTGACAATAAACGAGACCATTCAAAATCTAATTCATGACTGCAAATGCTGGATTCTGCCTTACACTGCGGTGACCCAAAGCAAAGTCAAATGTATGGCAGGTTGATTAAAAAGTCACAGATAAGCTCAGATGTTGGGTTTCCCAATCAAGCAAACATGAAACTAGGTAGTCAGGGGGGAAAGGAAAATCAAGTTGCACAATTTGAACAATATATTCAAATCAATGAATGGCTGAGATAAGAAGTTTAAAAACAAAAAAGGGAAATCGGCTGATTTACGGAAGTCTCTACAGGGGACCACATTCTGAGTGTATAGTTCTGGTATGCTCTTGCCACACATTTCAGAATGTAAACTTTGGAAGGTCCCTTATTTCTGTTATAATTTTACATCTGTAGTTCTAGAGTAACAGTACTTATTTTAAATTATGACAATTTTTTCAATGCTGGCGGGAAGAAATTCTTCACATCAAGAGCCACGGTGTGAACGTGGGGTTAGGCAAACCTTTTGATGTGTCGGTGTTTAAAGGGCAGCTTACTTGTTCACTGGTCTAGATGGCATATCGCAATTTGCAATCGAAGAGTGTCACTACTGGACCATGATAATGCACTCTCAGAGCAATGGCAGACCTGGGAGTGTCAATTAAACCTAATAACGGACCAGTGTGAAATGCTGCGCTTGACCACGTCACTGCTATTCTTCTCCTCCATTTTTTTGGACGAGAGAAATTGAAGCCCAAAGGGATAAATTAGATGGACTCTTGAATTTCCGGCCTATTCTTGTTGACCTTAACCACTGTCTCTGGGGAACATGAGGCAAAAAAAGAGGGGAAAAAAAAGAAAGAAAAATCCAGCGCTTTGGACAACTTTCAAATTACAGGATTCTGTTTTTTTTAATGTTTGATCATCATGCACGTATGTGTTTACCCTGATGATATATGATGTGCTGATTACAGATGAACAGGACGAGTTGAAACAGGATGAGTTGAAGGGAAAAAAAAAGCACTAAACAGTGGCAGGGTAAATCTACTTATTTTCAAACAGACTAATACAACTCTACTGACATGATGTCTTTACTATTGGAATGATGCTCAATGATGTGTTCTTAACTTGATATTAGCAAACTGCACAGTGAACGCAATATCCTCATGAAATCAGGGGCGTATCCTGGGGGGCCAATGGGGCCATTCCCTTTCCCCCAAAAGAAGCACACAAGACATTCCAATTCAGTCTAGTGTGGTCTGCTGATGCTTATAACAAGGGAATAAATATGTGCTTGGCTGGTCTTAAACATGCCTTCAAGACTGGCTCAGGAGAATTGACACAACTAATGCCAACGTTAGTTTAAGACCAACCAAGCACATATTTATTCCCACTTATAAATACCTTTTTAGTCAGAGAGTCAAAAGAAGTAAGTATACAATACATTTCCAAGGATTTTGTTCAAGGCTACTACTTTTATCTTCCTGAACACCCCTGTCAATTTCATGGTATATTCCTTGTGCAAGTAGTACAGGAGAATTTCCTTATATGAACTTCGTGCGTGCATGGCAAGTTCCGTGTGCCCCATGACTCTTTGACCAATAGGAATAAACTAAACTGTCTCATATCCAGGTGTCAGCAAGTTTATATGCAGTGGGCATTATCAAATCGCAGCAGACATTATCAAATGTTAATACATGGTCACGTTGCGCATAACTGAATAGGGAAACTGTCTGTCAGATTTGCAGTGCTGCACACACATACTCGGCGCATTTACTACATTTTGCATTTCCCAAGATTATTTGTTAAGTACTGTTGACTGCAGTGGAGTGGGATATGGATTTTTTAAAAACCCTTATGAAAGCATGGCACGCTTGGCCTTTGCACTGGTGCCATGTTTCCCATGGGTGTGGCAAACACTATATCCCCAACTCCAAAATAAACCCCTCAAAAAGCACAGTCAATAACAATAAATGGTCTAATGAAACAATAACCTTGCTTCAAGATAACACACGAGAACAGCACAATTTTGTTAGCAGCAGTGCGCTTTACATTTTGCTTCAAAATGATGGTACATGTAATATTCCCTAAATACGGTCCAATCAAATGCTGGCATGCAAGCCAGACATAAATACTCACAGAATTAGGTACAAAGCCATCATCAGTGTAGAGTAGACACACAGAGCGAACAAAACCCTTCAATCATTTTAAAAATGTTAGAGACCAAATTTTGCCTCTTCAGCAATGTACCCAATTAAAAGTGCTTCAAAAGACTAAGTCTTACTATGTCTGGATTTCTTGAAAACTTGCCAATACTAACCTCTCTCTCACCAAAAATGCTCGCTGAAATAACTAAATGACATAATATACTCAATGACATGAAACAACAATTCAATTATTTCCGCAAAAACAAAATAAGAATTTAAAACTTGGAAACACAGGAGGCTTCGTTTGAACAGTATCTCCGCAAATAGAACTTAAATTGCACATTGAAACCTTAGTTTTCCTTATCGAAGGGCAAAAACAACTACTACAAATTCTAATTCTTGGCAAACCCTCAGGCTAGACATCTTTTGGAATCTTAGATGGACACAGTAAGATTATAAAGTGACAGCTTTCCTTTCCACAAGGACTGGCGTGACACAAAGCGACTGATGTCTGAGGTCACTAGGAGCAGAAGTCGAGCCAGTGAGTAGTGGTTTATAACTGTGCGGTGCCCGTGTCAATAGACAACGTCTTCCCAAAGTCGTTATCCACAAGGTGAGATTGTCTTTATTCGGGCAGTGGATGCATTGATGCAGTATTAATCTCAGATGTCCTATGGCCTTACCTTACTTCCATTTCACATGCACGTAAATTTCTTGGCATTGCACAAAATCATACCGCACGTATGGCTCCCGTTGATTAAGCAGAGAAGGCTGACAGTGTCAAAGCAGTTTCAATATCATCTCGATCCGTGGCAAAAACCAACGTTGGGCGTGAAATTCAGAAGCAAAGTCTGATGGTTTTTGTTTGCAAGTGTTTTGCCACAAGAATCAACAGATTTGTTCAGGAATCAACGTCATGCAAATGGCGAGCAAGTTGCGAGCAGTACAGTCAACAAGTTCACAAAGACAAAATGTAGATCAAGCTTTCCAGCATTATACATATTTTCCTTCCCCAATTTGAATATCGTAAAAACTTCCGGAACACAGCAAATAAGCAGAAACCAGAAAAATCAGCAGAGTTGCAAATTGCATGTACACCCCAAATAAGAATTTGCAACACAGCAAAACCTGGGATATGCTCAAAATGTCCAAAGCTCCAATCGAAACAAGAGCCCCCCCAAACAAAGTAAAACAATAACAAAATTGAAGGAATGGTCCACCTTGAATGTGCACATGTTCCTGTGTATCCTTCAAGCAACTGTCGCACTCCTCAACTGGAAGAACCGGTTTGGGGTTGTTCATTTCTCCGGGTTCTTGGGTCGAGTTGATTTCTTCAGATGGTGATAGTTGGGCAGGATCTTCATCAGGAAGTCAAGCTGGAGAGTTTGTGCCTGCATTGAAGATTGCAGTGATCAGGGAGGGGAGCCAAACACACAAATCCAAGATGAATTGGCTATGCCTAAAGCAACTCTGCAAACTTGTTATGATACACATTTTCTGGGTGCAACAAGCCGAAAGGACATTCATTGTAGTTATTTTCATAATGAGTAATGTTACCCCTTTTTCGAACCTCACAACCTATCATTCGAACTTGCAGACGGGTGGTCTTGTGATTCCTTATTGGCATACAAGCAGATACCAAAAATCACCATCCCATAAACTGTTCATGTCATTAACTTTATAAATCTGTTTGATTACTTTTTTTATAATTTTTATGACTGTTTTACTGTAATTTTTATTTCAATTTAACTGGGGAATTTCATTTTAAAAATTTTTAACATGTATGTCGTAAGCCAATCACAGTAAAATATCAAATGCCTGTATTGAAGTTTTCTTAACTGAAATAAAGATAAAGAGAATAAAAATATCTAATGGCACTAGTTCCACTGGGAAACTTGAGTTTTGCTCAATTTTATGAGGGTTTACAATTCTGCCCTCACCTGTTTGCACCCCAAAAACAAAAATCCTGTCAGAGGCAACTGTATTTAAGGACTCAATTTTCTCACACCAAGCTTTTCTGTGCTCCTGGGAAACAGCCTTGTCTATCTTTTTGGGGGAGTGTGATCTACTGACTGTGATTCATGATCAGTAGGTCAGGGGTCAGAATCCAGCTGCTGGTTATATTATGTTCTTGGGCATGCCACTTTACTCTTATATGTCTCTACTAACTCAAGAGCAAACAGCAATTAACAGGGGGGAGCATCCTGCCACAGGTAAGGCGCCTTCCCCAAATTGACCTCGCGTTGTGTCACGGCTTGTCTGCAGTTTTCCCATGCAGTTTGCAGTTATCAAGGACAGCAGAAATCTGCAGACTTCCCAAAGTGGGTACTTGGGCATTATAAAGTTCTAATGAGCAAGGCTCCCATATGCCTCTGTTGTCTCAACAATGGAAGTAAGGAATAAACAGCAGTAGCCAGGTATCTCATGAATGCGAGTGGACTAAACGCAGACAGAGGCAATGTTGCGAACCAGCATAGCTGAAGCGTCTCTTTAAAGTAGAGGGATGTTGTACCAGGCAGCTGGAATTCTTTGAAAAGCAACTGTTTGGGAGCAGCGCACTCCATGGAATGGAGCTTCCTTTCAATCGGTTTCCTAAGGTGATTTTTATTACTAGTCCCTTATCATCCGCGAAATTATGTGTGTTGACGAGTCGCTGATTCGGACTGGAGTCACTCTTTTTTTTTACTTTAGACAAGCGCTGCAGCCTGACCGCCGAACTGAACTAAAAATCATCGAACATGGCTCTTTAGAACCGAACTGGTTGGTTCGGATGTTTGGCTTTAATATGGCACAGAACTGATAGCAAACGTAATGCACGCTAGAAAACTTGATAAAAAGCAAATACAACGAGAAATGGTAAACAAGGTAGGCCGCACCTGCGGGGCTAGACAGATGTATGTACATGTACATGAACACATGTACAGTAAACTTACAGTGGCCCTGCTTCACACAATGGTTGTAACTTGCACGTGGTGAGAATTAAGCAACAACCAAGCAAGCACATGCAAGGTACATGCAAGGTACGGTATGCCTACTGCAAATAATCCTAAATTCTCACTACATCCAATGTGTATATTCAGACAGAAATTTTGTACGCTAATCTCCAATAGCCGCGCCCCTATGCTCCATATTCAGTCAATGACGTAATAAATGGCTGTGCAGAATGAAATTTGATTGGATTCTGGTAGTAGTCGGACTCGTGCTAATCGAAGCATGATTGAAGGCAACCCTGGTGGAAAAAAGATTTTGCCGGGCAGGGCAGTGCTCTCTGGATTTAGCGCTCGTGGTGGCCGACTAAAATTGTCTTTCATTTGGTCAAATTCGACTATGTATACGTTGTGACAGAATTTTGCCAGATCTGTGAAGTGTTTGCAAATCTCAAAAATCAAAATGCCGATATCCATTCGAAAAAAAGACTGATGGAAAATTTCCCCTTTGGCCACATGGCCGTGGGCACCGTCCTTGGAAAGAATGCTGACTAGAGACCAAGGTTCTTCAAATATATCAAATACAATAGTTTACTAGCTGAATCAGTTTCATGAAAAATAACCAAGAACAAGAAGTAAACATGAAGAGTCCCACGACGTGTATCACATCATCCAAGCATAAAACCCAACGACTCTTTTCAGAGCCCCCCAGTTTAAAAAAAGAGATTCCTGCGAATGAAAACAAAGGTGGTACCTGTGTCTAGTTTATTTTTATTTTAATACCCCTGCCAACAAGCCCCTATTAAAAGACAGTGATATTCCCCTAATGTCGTCCTACATGATCCAGCCGTACATGTAATCATGGTAGTTGGCTATGGAAATAAAGAAATTTTTTCTTTTTTTTTTTTCATTATTATATCAGCAAGTTTAGAAAAAAAAAGATAAAATAATAAATTCTGTTGCCTTTTTTGTCTTTGCAAAACACCTCTGAACAATCTTGTTAACGTTAAAATGCTTGGTTTTATATGTTTCAGTAAATAAATTAGTGACTTTTGAAAAGGAATTTATTTTCATTAATTCCATTCACGTTTCACTATTGCCGTGTTGAAAACACATGTGCAAAACTCAATGCATTACAGGAATGCTGTACTGGTTCCCATCGTGCCACGCCCATGCAAAAGAGCACGCGATGGAAATGTGGTAACCAGTCTATACATCCTGGTCGATAAAGTCTTGTTACACAACATCAGCCATAGAAGACTTTGTCAGGATGAAATTGTCCGTTCCAACAACACTGACAAGCTGGCCCCTATGTAGACAAAACCGTCGTACATTTGTCTCCTATTTTGTGTTTGTCAATGAAACACTTTTATCATTGCACTCATTACAGTCGGGATCTGATCACAATGTAGTGATTTCTTTAACACTTCACTTTAACACTTTACTGCCAATTGGTGGGCATCTGCAACTCTTTCATTCATATTCAAATTACTAATACTCCTACAACGCAGCCGGCAGATAATCTGCAGAATCTCGGCCGTATTCATGAGTTGCTAATTAACATGACCCTTACATATTGTGAACTGTACGCAGACTGGCCAGGTTGTCAAGGGCTCTTTTATTTGGCACAGGTGAGCGTGCTTGTGCAGAATCTGCAGAATGTCTGCGTCTTTGAACAGGTAGTCAATTTGGGGATGATGCCTAAGGGGGAACATTCTCAGTTGTGTCATGCCAAAGAGGCAAGAGACCAATACAAGTCTCCTCAGCTATGTTGGATTGTGATGGGACTGCAGTTTCTTTCTTTACCTGTGGTCTCTCAGCCTGAACCCTCCGCACACACTTTTCACCGTAGATGACCGTGTTCTCGGGCAAGGTCTCGTTGCTGGTAATTGGACAGAAGGCCCCAATGACACAGCCACTGGTAAGCTCAATATCTCGCCCCACCACAGCTGAAGAGAGAGAATGAAGAGTGTAGTGAAGTCTCAACAAAAAGTACAAGATACCAGAAATTTTACCAGCTCCTTGGGGTGGGTTAGATATCAGACAGTTGACCTGCTCCACGGCGGGCATTGGGTTAACAAGCAAATGGAACTGACATATTTCAGATTCCCACAACACTGTTAGACTTTTTTCCAAGATGTTCTTTGCATCGGGGAGATGTTCATTTCTTGTTTTAATTACAGGTTTTTGCTGTGACACTGACATACATTCAGACTTTTAATACTGGGATTTGCCTTCCACTGACATAATTTGACAAGTTACTGATTGCTTAGTGTTTTCTGATTGCTTTTAAGGGGAAGCTTAAGGTTGTGTTTGGGGGAAAATTAAAAGTGCCATGAAAAGGCTTAATTTATCTGGAACTTTACAGGATGTCCAAACTTCTGGGAACTGTGGTAACCCAAAATTAACCAAATCGAAAACTGCCCATTTTGGGAACAAGATAAGCTGTTGAGAAACCCTCATCAGGGTTTCTACAGGCAACTAGCTACATGTAAATCTGAAATGAGAATAATGCTGAATAAAAAAACATGCACAAGTGGGTTTTGTTGTATTCTATGGTTATCCTGTTTGAATTCTTTATGGTAAAAAAAAAACAAGGGTTCCTCAAAAACGTGCAGGTACTGTAGCCCTTGAGGAGGAAAACGAAGAAAAATGTCCCAGAAGGACATTTCAGACCAAAAAACCTTACAGAATGAGACAGGAACTACAAACTGAATCCACATTGGCCTGGGTGGGATTTGAACCAAGGCGACAGAGGTGGAAGATGAGGAAACTACCTACTACTACCTAACTACTGTCGACAATCTGGCTCCGTCGCTAACTTCCTTCCACGTGTACCTTGCCAATTCTGATGACTCGTTATTCAAGCACAATCTAACAGCATCAATCAAAGTTGGATATTGTTGCACTTGACAGACTTTAGGGTTGGGCTTTTCTCACCTTTAGCCTCTATGACGTTGTTGTCACCGACGCGGAGCGCTTCACAACCTATCAGGGAAATGCATCAAGGAACTTAACAAAGACAAAGCAGATGGAACGCTTGCTGTTTAAAGGACAAACAAACTCGGAGCAAACACTGGCACAGATTCATAGCAGAGTCTAACAGATGCACTGGCTCACTGTTAACAACTTATGCCCTTCTTTGTTTAGACACATCTTTGTGAAAGGATACGGCAGCCAACTTCAAAGACATTGTTGGCGCCAATCACCATCTTCTGTCCCCCTTCTTTTGTTGGCGAATCATCAGCTTGCCTGTACAGAACGACATGTAACGAAGTTAATGTGCCTTTCATCAATCAGGAATGCACAAAGTCTGGTAGCCTTCTTGGTTGGCAGGTAAAATGAGACAAAACGAGATGTAAACAGTACTAGGAAGGTCAGGATTTGGTAGAATGGCAATGGAACCCTAACCTTCCCAAATCCTTCAAAATTCTCAGAACAGTTCCAGAGGATTTCGTAAGATTGAGACTGTACGGCAAAGAGGCTTGGCTGATTGTCAAGGGTACATCGTGTCAAGGTCTTGGGTAAGACCTTGTGCTGTTTATGCTCAGCCTTTCATAAATTCAAGCCCAGAGTATACATGTATATGTGAAATCATCCACACTACAACAGGATACTATTACCATTTGCACTGCCTCAACGTAATGACAGGAAATGCCAGAGGATTTTGAAGGATTGAGGCTGCGGGCACACATCCAAGGAATGCATTCAAGACAAAAAGATTTTGGAGGACTGGGGGCGTATCCATATTTTTACATCGAGACACTTGGACGATTTTGAAAGATTCAGGTTGCATCCTAGCAATAATGCCTAGGGCATTAATTAAGATTGATCAGTTTTTATAGGAACTTTCCTGCATCTTCCAAAATCCTTCACTGTGTCACAATAAAACAACGACATCAAGGAATGCACCTTGTGCAAAAAGAAGGCCCCAAAAAACACTTCAAAACCTCCTGGCAGACTTTGGAAGACCTGGAACGGAATAGCATTTCCAGGATAACACAACTCAAGCCACATAATATTCATAAACAGGGTGGCCTATCTTCTTCAAACCATTTGTGGAGAGCACTGTGGTCCAGTCTAAACGCACCTGTTAATGATAAGAACTTGTTCCTCAATCAGGTTACTCTCGCCAATCACTATGGGTCCCCCCTCAGCTATGATTCTGGCCTTCGGATGCACCACCGTCCGGGCACCTTGGGGTTTGAATGACAAACATGCGAACAAAGTTAAGACTGGTTCACACTTGGACACAAATGCTAAACAGTGACATTGGATCAAATACTCTTGCTGCACATTTGCAAATGCACAATGCATTTCAACTCGAGCAAACTTCGCTGCAAATATTTCACAACATCAACTTCGGTGCACTTTTGCGTTCACCTGAAGTATGACCAGCCTTTGAGGATGATTCATCCTAATTAGCAAACCTATTGCTGGTTAACTGGTTCATAATTTGGTCTTTTTTGATCAATAGGCTCTGGCAACCATCATTCTTTTGGCAGGCAATCAGCATACAGCCAACCAACGTTGAGCTAACACCTATGGTTCTTTGGACATCAGCATCCTCTTTGAAGAGTTGGTACAGCTTGTTTGATTTGTGTCATCTAATCCATAGATGGAAACTGGCATAAAACAGTAGATTAACACAACAGTACTCACCTATTGTAACATCACCACGAATTTCGGCCTCCACACAAACCACTGCACCAGCGCCTATCTTAACACTGTAAATAAATGGACGATACACATGCATGAACATTGCTGGCCTTAGAGAGTACAAAAATCTTCTCTGTGAAACCTTCCGCTAGTGGTGAACAGAGAAAATTAATGCTGTCCAAGGTAAAAGATAACATGCACATTTCTCTGTTTTTCACATTTACCATTAATCAATTAAAACATTTTCTTATGTATGTTTACGAAGTGGCTTTCTTTACCGAAACCATGATACATGTATTTTCCTTTAACAGCATTACAAAATAACATTTGAAATCGATGGAGCAGCTGAAGTGTAATACAGCACTGATTTCAACTGAAGTACTCAAGTAGCTCAACAGGGCAATTTTCGGAGGTGGGGAGGGAGGACGTAATTTTATTTTCCCTTGTGTGTCTTCGGGTTGATGTGGCAGGTATGCACTGTCCACTACACAGTAAAGCTGTGGAGGGAAGGGATATTCTTGAAGGTTTATCCACAAACTCTGAAATGTTGCAATAACACAATCTTTGTACATGAAGGCAGATTTAGAACCTGTTTGTTTACAGTTGCACTGGTCGGACGAGCACTGAGAACAAGTTTCTATCCCCCACCTCTGAAGCTGGTCAAGCTGGTATGCAGTACAATGGTCGGCCATTACCAGACACAAGTGCAGTGTATAATGCCTACAAAGTATGTGGTGTGTTTGGACTGTTATTGTCAGAATGAGACGGTAATGAGTAAAACTCACTAACCCTCACTTCTTCTCAAAATAGTCAGGTGCATGGTCTTAAACCCCAGGTCATAAGTTTAAGAGAGAAATGGATCAGTTTAGACAGCTTTTGGGGGAAGATTTTATTGAAAGAACAGAATTTTTGAATGACGGTCTATTGTAAATGTTGGGACCATGTTTTTTAGTTACTTTTACAAATAAGGGCCGCCCTGAAAAAGTCTGTGTCGGTGTTATAATTTTTACCCTATAATTTTCGGTAAAAAATCAAAACCCTGCCCTCTTTCTATAAAATTAACCCGGAGCCGTGTGCACGCACTACGCTTGCGCGATTTCCAGTGATGGTCTGTTGCACGTTCCTGCTACACGGAGGTCGTGACTGGTACCTGGCTTTAACCAAATTGCCGATATAAAAAAATGCAGTTCCCATTTTGTCAGATCGGCGGCTTCAGACTGACCGATTAATCCCCTATTGGTTGGCCCTAAATATTCATAGTTTGTTCTGCTTTATATTTGGGTTTATAAACATTAATAGAGTTAATTTGCAAAACAACCTGCTATTTTACAACAATAACTTCGGTCAGCATAGCCGGCTTTATAATATGCAGGGTTCTTGTATGGGAATATGTCCATCAACGATCTCTCTTTGAAGTGTTGAACATGTTTAATTTGTTAGTAGATTTTTATTGATTGAAGATGTATAAATACACAATATTGTAGAGATCTGATTTTTATTAAAATGAACCAATTACTTATCTTGATAATTGAGGAATAAAAACAGAGGATTGCATTGCGGGCATGATGATCATGATGAACGATGCTATACTGATCGGGAACATAGTATGCAGAGGCAGTGCTGGCACGCGCACGTGCTGTAAGTAGCGATCACGCACAAATTGTGCTGTTGATTGGCATTTCCTTTTTTTCATTCGTAAACCGAACATATAATAAAGCAGACTGAATTTGTAATTGGCAGTGATGAGTTAATTTTTAGAGCAACTGACATATACCTAGACTGTGTCGACTTAAAAAAAAAATCTCCTAATCCATACGGTTTGGGGGTTGGGGAAAGCAGATGCTTTCTTAAACCCCCAGCCTCACGTAGGCCTACATGTACATCAACCAGCTGGAAACTTTCACGCATAGTTATTTGTCCTCTGTAATCGTAAGTGCCATAGGCTCTACATGACGTTTAACAGGGCACGAACGGGCAATTTTGTTCTGGTTATGTACCCATAGAAATGCTGCTCCATTCCCCCTTTCCGTACGGAAAGCGGCTGCAGCCAATTTCCATGTCCTGTGTACTGATAGCAGCCATAGTCAACCATTTGGTCACGGCTCGTCTTCACAAGTACACATGTGAACCACATGACTCTCGGACGCTGATCTGGAAATATTTGCACCTTTTTTTGAAAATCGGCATGGTTTTGGCCCGTTTTTGTCTTGGTACAAAGTAGGAAGGTATGTAAGCTAACATACATAGAACTCTTGGTGAAAAAAGCTCGTTTTCTGTGGGGTTTGTGGGAGCAGGGCAGATGTTGCACCCTACAGTTCTGGGGGTACAGGAGTTACAGATGTGACATTGGCTCCTTGGAAAAGATGGAAGTGTTGAAAATTTAAGTTATAAAATTTGCCGCCCAATTTTTGACCCTTTATGTCCTAGACTGGGTTCTCCCCAGGATTGTTCAAAACTGTGGGGGATTTCCATTGTGGTTTACCAACATTTTACGAAGCCCTGGCGCGGAAATACCTCCCCGTCGTGGATGCCATTAACCCTAACCCCCAAGGGTTGCTGGCCCAAACCTTCCCCATTCACAGAGTTAAACACCCATATGGGACTTTGTGCACACAGGCTGTTGGACTTTGATTTTCTGAGGTATGCCAAACCCAATGCAAAAGCCAACTGTTATGGGCCTACCAGACCAATCCCTACAGAATTAAACACTTTATTACAGTTTAATTCTGTGTGGTTGGGAAAGCTTAGGGTTAATACTGTTACACAGGGCTACTGCTGCCAACATTGTAAGTTCTGTGAATGGTGTAGTATAAAATGTTGACCTTCGTAAATGCAGCCCCACTAGCATATTGAGCACACGGCACAGAGAAAACACACATGTGCGCGGGTGCATGTACGACGCCCATGACGGAAGTTCAGATTTCATGCGACACTTCCCACAAGGAATGTTCGGTGCCAATGTACATGTACGGTGTGCAGTGTGGCTGCCGACGCATGGTGCACAATGCGTATACTATTTAGGCTACCTATCGTATGTATATGTACACCGAAAAATGCAGGACTATTAACTGCTTTTTCGTCTAGATTTTCCAGACATGCAATTTGCATTTTGTAAGATAATTCCGAGCCATACTATCATAATAACATTGTGCGTATTGGGGATGAAAAATGGGTATCAGCCTGTTTTTTGTGTATCAGGCAGAAATAATTACATATCAGATCGGATACGCAAGTTTGTACGTGGGAGAACCCCGCTGAACTCCCTCCATAACGTAACGTAGTACAGTCAGGGAGTCCACCTGGGCTAGTCCAAATGTTAAAAAAAGGCAATTTGTACGGTTCAAGTTACTTGAACTAATCAAAACTGTACACTAAACATTACACTTCTCAGGAAACAGTCGTCGGTGCACATGTGCTAACACAGCATGCTGTCTGTGAATGGTTCGCTAGGCTGGCGTGCCATGACGTCGTCAAAAGGACATCAACATATACTGATATAAACTACACGGGGCTATTTGAGGAAAGATGGCATCTTTGAGCTCGTCGACAAGAGCATTTCCGTTTGAAGGGGAAATTTCTCTTTTCCTCCCATAGGCCTAGGCCTATGTGAGCAAACCATTAAAGTCGGACTAGGGTCTAGGCCTAGTATAAGCAGATAAGTATAGGCCCTAGTGTGCGTGTTATGCCCCAACTATAGCATCAGTCCCAACTATAGTTGACCCCGTCCCAACTATAGTTAGGCCCGTCCCAACTAGAGTGTTACAGTTGGGCCGGCCCACCTATAGCAGAGAGGTCCTGTGTGCATGATGTGCCCAGCATGTGCATATTGTTTACAAATGTCATGTCATTGGTCATAGGGCTAGATGAAGAGATGAAGTGCCACATTTCAGATGACTTGTGTCAAGTGTGAGACACACTGACTTGGATAATGTTGAGACATTTCCCACAGACATTGGTCAACAATAGCTGGGCCAGCCCAACTGCAGCACTGCAGTTGGGACTGTCCCAACTATAGTTGGGACTTATGCTATAGTTGGGGCGTAACATGCGCATGCCGAATCATGCAAATTTGCTCTCGTGGTTTCCCAAGCTAGGAAAACATGGGTATCAGGCAGAAAAATATCTTTGGAAATGACTTTGGCTTGTCATTTGCGCTAAATATGGATAAAAGAGTTTCAAAGGAAACACACTGTACATGTAAAAGAAAAAAAGGAAAAACACTTCACCTCGGTCGCACAACACCGGCCATCTCGAGCTGTGACAGTCTAGCGAGCTGGCTAGTCTGGTTCCCAGACCAAGAATCTCCTACTACTGTGTCGATTTTTGTCAAGAGCAAATGTCAAGTGTCGTCAGGGAATCCACTGTCAGTATAGCAGAGATCAGTGCAGAGGGAATCTTTGGGCAGGGAACCAGACTAGCTAGCTGGCCAGCTCAGGTTGCACTACATCAATTGTACGCGCCCATAGTAAACAGTGCAAAATCGGACCGAAATAGCGCCGCCTGTTGACTCTCGGGAAGCGGTTGGCCTCCGTTTTTTTCACTGGAAATTCAAGATTACGGCCAGAAGATCACTTTTCTTCTCAGTTTCGTAGGGGTTAGCCACGAAAATTTTTTTATTCGCCTTTGAATGAAGATACCCCCAAAATAGCAATAAAACTAAGCGCTTATTTCTGAATGTAACCACCCGCTCCAAGATATGTCCGCAATTTCGGGATTTTTGTGAAAGAAATACCCAGTACTGAAGATCATCAGCCCTAAATTTGAGATTTACAGAAATATTTCTATGGTGCCTCCTGATTATGGCCTGTCCTATTGTAAAAACCCGGTGGGATCACAAAATATTAATGATCTTGCGCGCAGAAATACAACCATTTGGTGGAATGCACCCCTCAGCTCATCACGCCCTCTTCCGGCCCCAGCACGACCTCATAAATAGCGCCCTCTATGAAGGAGAGAGCCACGCCACGAGAGCGGGGAAAGTGGGCGCGGTCGACCGCGTGGTGACTAGTGCAGTGGCATTGCAGCCTTGGTACAACGCCAAACGTAAGCCTACAATACAACTTTTTTAAAAATGTAGAAACGTTAAAAAGGTAAAGGTTTGACACTGAAATCCCATCAGAATCTTCCTGAAAGGAAAAATGACAAGTCGAAACTCAGTTCGCAGGTCCTGCAGAGGTCTGATCATGTACAGTGGGTAGGGCCTATGTCGGATTGCGTTGCGCTGTTAACTGATGGGAGTCAGGGAAAGTTAAGTAGGCCTATTTGACAAAGAATTTAAGTTTCTTTTAAACATCCATCAACAGATTAATTGTTATTCCGTCAAGAGCAAGAAATCAGCTTCAAAAATTACCTAGAACTCCGGGGTTCTTTGTCCATGGAAGCTCGATGGCTGACGAACCCGGCCCAGAGTTGAAATGGTAGGCTACTTCAAAATGACACCAAGATGAATCTTAGACAAATATCAAAGGACTTAGCTAGGATTTTAACACGTTCAGGTGCGGAGATTATCACCACAAAATATGTAATGATGATTGGTGAAGCTGAAGGGGAAGAATTAACAATTTTCATCTCGATGAAAAGGTTTAGACAAAACACTGTAAGGTGCAAAACCAGATTTTGAAATTGTAACAGCAGTGACATTTTTTTGGAGACAATTTTTCTGTAACTAACCATATACTCTTCAGAACATGACAATTTTATAACACCCACTTCTAAGGATTGTAGATCAACTCGCCCCTTACTGACTCACCCCCTCGCCAACTCGCCCCCTGACCGACTCGCCCATTACCATTCCACCCCCTAGCTAAGTTGCCCCCTGGCTGACTTGGCCCCCTTACTAACTCACCCCCCCAGCAAACTCGCCTCTTGACCAAGTCCCTCTCTCGGAGGAGAGTCTGCTGCTTTGGACCATTAACTACATTTCCAAAGTGAGAATAGGCCTAAATGTTTAAAAAAATGCTCATTCCTATCAACCATGATAACCATGTGCATCTGTAGCTTGCTTGACTGTGTTCTTTTGTTTTTGTTTTGACGTTTTTTTGAGGGGCTTGGGATGATAACCGTGGGTGTACTGCGGAGATTAGGTCCATTGTGAATGCAAATCTTGTGTCTCACCGTCGCGCTATCCATATAAAATGTCCTTTGACTGGCGGACATTTTGGGGTTTGTTGTTTGTTGGAGGAAAGAGACGGCCACCATGTCACAGCTAGATGCACAAAGGCTTCATTAAGTATCTTATCACATACAGCCATGCTTCTGCAGATGTGGTGTCTTCATGTAACGCCTTTGCAGAGAAGATCCTGGATGTTTTTGCAGCATGCAGAACTGCATGGCTGGTTATGTGGGCTTACTCACATTGGTTTCAAGACGGTGGACTGCATTACCGCATGGCTGTCCAACTGGACAAGTTACAGCGCTGGCTCAGAGTTTGGAATTTTGTTGGCATCTCGTTACGATCTTTCTGTTCATGTTTCATCCCTTCATCACTACTACAGAGCGTAGAAATATGTCACCAAAAGTGGCAAACATTACTTGTAGGCAGCTGGCCATCCTGACTTGACGTCGTCATTTGTGGCCCATACGGATGCTGCCTCACTAGCTGTTCGCACCCTTCCTCCAATGTCAACTACTGCACCCGTCACCACACTTCCAGAGGGCGATCTACTGATGGTGTTGAGAACCAGCGCAAGCCCAAGCTGACCCTGACATTTCCCAGCTTTTTGTGCACAAGAATCTTTAAACACACAATTCCTGGCATATGCAGAAGAACAGAAGTGTGACGGTATCTTGGGGTCAAACACAGAGCTGCAGTGCACATTCTCTTTTTGTTTTGTACATGTAAGTATGAAGAAATTTTTTCAGACTAATCAACATTAGGAATTGGTTGCTGGTTTGTGACCAAGCTGACTTCTTTCAATCCACTGAAATGGTGCGGCTTGTCTTTGCCTATCTGGACAAACAACAAACCCCTCCCCTTAAGGATTCATCTAAAATGTAATATTGAGACTAGGACATGAAATTAATCTAATTTGTTGACTGAAGTCACTGAAGGCTAAATAAACCATTAATGAAAGACAAGTGAAACCACAGTACCAAACTCTTTGTTCACTGACTTTAAAAGAACACCAGAAGGCAATGATCTACAATTCCATTTGATGATACAGCATTCTACTTTTAGAGTCCAATTTCATTAAGACGAACTTGACACTTTGAAAATACATTTGATAATGTCACTTTGATTACCGAAAGCAAGGAAAAGCCTGATTTGTTACTTGCTACAAGGCGATAAATATACTTTGTGTTCTCAAAACAGAAGTTTCATTTTGTATAATTTTATGAGCTGCCGTAGGAAACTCCTGCCAAATAATTTCAATTTACTGTAAAATTTGCCAGTTCATTGAAACTGGAAAAATTATGCATATTATCTTGTTTATCTCCTGAATGAACTTGGAAGTTCCTCTGCTCTTAATACAGTTTGTAGTGCAATTAATTTTCAAGGGGGCATGGAAAGCCATGGAAATTGTGGTTTGTATAGTGGGCCCTGTATATTAATTTCCCGTTATTGGGGTTTGAAATTAGGAGTGTAGCAATAGTGATAAATGGATGGCTGACACTGGGGCCACCTGGTTTTTAAGTGGGGCTGTTTCATATGTTCCCACTGGATCCCAGTTGGCCATTTTAACCCTAGTTACATTCTAGTGTGAAATAATTTTGTTTATCGCACTAATTTACATGGACAAACAGTTGATCCAAACATCTTTTGGGAAAGATTCACGAATTTAAGAGTTGAAGTCCCGTTTTATTGTCTCTGCCTGCAAGTTTAAAAGTTAATGTAGCAAAACAATTATTCTTATGCTCCATAATTCTGTGAAATTAAAAACTGTGTGCGTCATGTCCGCTTTGAGCAAATTCTAGTCACCATACAGAAAACCTCCCAAGTAAGAAACATCCTTGTTAAAACAAATTCTAAACATGCATTAAAATCAAAATCTGACCTTGCAAAGATTTTGCACGTTCAATTCAAGATGGTACTCCAAAAACAAAGGTAGTACTAGTGTTGAACGTGTAAAATCTTTGCAAATTTGCTGTACAAGTCAGCCATATTGAATTGATAGTGGGCTTAACTTTATTTTGGCACGAAATAATACTTCACTACAAGTTTGTGTCAGTTATGCCACTGAAGAATGTAAAATTTGTCTTTAGATCTATATGTTTTAACCACATTTAAAGAAAACTTAAATGAGGGATGGAACCCCAAATAGCTTACAAACTACCAGCATTTTTACGAGGAAGGCAAGTGTGCATGTGAAAAGCAGATTGCCCCAGATACATGTATTTGCTATTCTAAGTTTCTGTCATCAAAATCCCATGTACTCTCATCTTAATAAAATAGCGTACTGCTATTTAATTTTAAAAAATAAAAATGTGAACACCTCAAGCAGAATTCCCTTCTGCTGGTGGGGGGCACCCCCAGCCTACACCCTTGCAATTGCAAATAAATTGCCAAGAAATCAGTTTCTGAAGAAAGCTGTTAAAGGTCATTTAATCTAGCTGAAAAAATAGATTTCCTACAACTTTAGGCGCAAGGAAACAATTTTCATGCAAGTTAACCTGCAACAGTTCTTTAAAAAATGACAACAAACCATGAGTGAGAAATACTGTACTTAGCAAGTAACTACATTCTGCAAGTTTTGCCTTTGGTTCAGTTACTTGCAGTAAAATGTCAAAGCAGATCTTCAAAAATAATAAACGCAACAGTATACAACAAAGTTAATTTGGATATTTAGAAAGGTTGAAACTCATACAAAAAATCAGCATTTCTACAAAAAATATATATACTAGTATTACTTATAAGTGCATATAGTTCATATTACTGCATACAAGCTATTTCATCAAATTGGGACAACTGAATTCTGTTCTTACATATATAGATTCTTACATACCTAGTTATAACATTAATGCTTCCATGACTCTTCATTTTAATGTTATTTTTCAAAATGTTCACGTCAAAAATAGAAGTGCATTGTCTTTGAAGAAACTTGGCATCTGAGCTGTAAGATATCTTGCATTTTAAAGTTTGTCAAAGTGCATACAGGTAGTAATTACCCGGTAATGTTTTTAGAAAGCCATTATGTTTTAGTGCAGTACAAAGCTGCATGACAGAAATAGTAATTTTCCTCTCTCATTTGACGTAACCGAGTATGAGATACATGTACAAGCCAAGTTTATGTTCAAGGTTAAAATTATTAAGCTGAATAAGTCATACGAGACCCAATAAACAGCGTATTTTGTATGTACAAAATTCAACTTGCATGTAACTTAACTCATTTATGAGAGACATAAATTTCAGCTTTAGCTTTTTTTTGCTTGGCCAACTTGTAGAGCCAGGTTTTAAAGAATGCATGCAATACTGTCTA